GTTTTGTTTGGAAAAAAAAACTTTTGCCAAATTATTTCGTAACTTATCGATACGTATCGATAAAATTTCAGTGATTTATCATATAATCGAATTTTTTTTTCGTGTGTTGCGTGTACGTATGCGTTTTTTTTAAGTGCGTGCGTAACATAATTAAACGTTTTTTTTTTTTTATTGGTTTTTATTACGTGTTTGTTTGTTTGTTTTTTTAAAATTTAAAAAATTTATTTTCATTCTCATCATCATCATTACCGTCGTCGGAGTCGATTGCAAAAAATACAAAGAGAGAAAAAATTTTTTCTCTTTTCTTTTTTCCAGTCTTAATCTTTTTTTTTTTTTTTTTTTTAATTTGCTAATATCATTAAGGAGTTAATTAAAATCGAGTTAATGCCACGACGAAATTAAAAATAAAAAAATTTAATCGTCGCAAAAAAAAAAAAAAAAAATTTTCTAACCGCGAAAACGGGGGGAAAGAAGAAAAAATAGAAAAATAAATCGGCGTAATTATCATTATTATTATTATTATTATTATTATTAACCAAGACGTGGGATTAAGCAAAAAAAAAAAAAAAACGTTACTATGATGACTAGCGGGGATAAAGGACGACAGAGAAAGTTGTTGTCTTGATTAAACGTATGTTTATGTCGTTTTCAAATGGTTTGTAGTTGAAAGACTTTCATTTTTTCTCTCTCTCTCTATTTCCACGTCTGTCGTAAACGCAGAAATAAAAGAAAAAAAAAACGTGTAAATAAGAAAAGCTGTCGGAATAGAGGAGACGAAGGGGATGATGATGACGGCGGCGGCGGCTTTTTTAAAAAAAAGATGAAAAAATAATCGTTTACAATGGACCCCTGCTCGGTCGGAAATAATTTTTTTTTTTTTTTTTTTTTTTTTCTTTCAAATCACGAGTTTGTTTTCGCTTGTTGGAAACGAGCGGTTGTTGGTTGTCGGTTGTCGGTTGTTCGGTATATTTATCAGCGTAATAAAAAAAAAAAAAAAGAAGAAAAAAAAACGATATTTGGAATGATTTTTGATGTGTTGTTGTAGAATGCGGTTTGAGGTTAAACATATGCAGTATTTTTTTTTTTATTATCCGCGCCGCCGCCGCCGCCACCACCACCACCACCGACACAACGAACAAACGAACAAACTCGATCGGTTTCGTTTTATTTATATTAAAAAAAAAATAAATAAATAAATTTACGGAATTTTACGATGATATTTTCATGTCACACGAATGAAAAAAAAAAAAATTTTTTTTTTTTTTTTTTTATTAATAATTATCGAAACCGGAAACGGTTTCATCGTCGCCGTCAACGTCACCGTTGTTGTCGTTGTCGTTATTGTGGTTTTTCGATTATTCAATCATTTTATCATAAATTTAAACTCGATGGAATGTGATGAGGGTAATTTAATAAAGTCTTCCTTCCCCGCCCCCAAACAAGTTCTTCCTTCCTTTCGTCCTTCCTCTCTCTCTCTTTCTCTTTCTCTCTTTTCCTCTTTATTAATTTGTTCCATTCACACATTTATTTATAAATGAATGAATTTGAAGAAGTGGGAAAAGAAAAAAACAATTTTAGTAGAGGAGGGAAGGGGGAAGGGGGAAAGAAATGGCACGAATCCAACAGAAAAATTTCTCACATTTTCACTCGCAAGTTTCTGACACGACGGAAAAAAAAAAAAAAAAAAAAAAAAAAAATTATTTAACCGGATGTTATGAAATGTGTCGAATTTCGACAGCGCGATATTGAAAAATCGTTAACGGGGAGAGGGGGAGGGGGATTTAAATCGTGCAAAAAGAACCGTGATTAATAATAATAATAATAATAATAATAATAATAATAATAATAATAATAATAATAATAATGATAATCCGTTAGAAAATAAACATTTTAAAGAAATCATCACCGGACAGATTGATGAGGGGACCACACGCACCACGTACGCACTGGAAAATTTTTTTTTTTAAAGGAAAAATCAATAAAATCGATATTGACAATTTTTTTATTTTTTTGATTACGTCGAATCGATATTAATCTCTCTCTCTCTCTTTCTCTCTCTCGCTCTAAAAAAAAAAAAAAAACTCGTTGTTGACCTAACTAACCTTCTTGTATTTCACATAAAAAAATGCAAAATTAAAACTTTCATTTTTTTTATGTTTGTAACCCTGAATTTTTAATTTTTTTTTTTTTTTTTATACTGGAAGGCTTTAATGAACCGGTTTCGATCGGGTAAATAGACGAAAAAAATTTTTACGTAGAATATTTATTAGTAAGAATCGAAATTAAAACAAACAAAAGAATAATAATAATAAGGTTTGTTGTGAAATAGTCGTTTGTCGAACTCGCGAATAACCTAATAGATCGTGGTTAAAGAAAAAAATTAAAAAATCATTTTTGTTGCATTATTATTATTATTATTATTATTATTATTATTATCGTTTCCGTTAAATTAAAAGAAAAAAAAATTCTCCTACGGGCAAAAAAACAGAAATAAACTTTTTCCACGTTTTCGCTTTTTATAAAAAAAAAAAAAAAAAAACAATATGGCGTCTTCACGCAACTCTATATCCTCTCGAAAGTTTTTTTTTTTTTTACTTTCTCTTTTGTTAATAATAATAATGAAAAAAACACCAAATAAGGGAAAAAAATAAAAATTTTTTCAAACCTCGAAAAACAGGTTCTTTTCCTTTTTTATTTCGGTGCCGAAAAAAAAAAATAAAAAATAAAAATTACTTTTTAACCATCCCTCGGGATTTGTTGTTGTCGCAATCTTTCGATTTCTTTCATGTTCATTTATTTTAATGTTTCGCTTACGGAAATTAAATAATTT